ATAATAGCCAAAAGTGGAAACAATCCAAATATTCATCAGTTGATAAATGGTTAAACTAAATTCGGTCTAGCCATACGATGGAATACTACACACCAAGAAAAAGCAGCAAAGTACAGAAACATGCTACAACATGGAAGAACCTTGAAAACATCATGTTAATTGAAAGAAGCCAGTCACAAAAGGTGATATATTGTGCATTTCCATTTAGAGGAAATATCCAGAGTAGGCAAATCCATAGAAATAGAAAGTAGATAAGTGCCTGGGAGGGGCTAGAGGAAATGGGGATTGATTGCTAATGGGTCCAAGGTTTCTTTTTGGTGTGATGAAGTTCTGGAATTAGATAGTGGTGATGGTTGTACAAGTTTGTGAATGTACACTTTGAATGGTGAATTTTGTGATACATGATTTATATATCAATGAAGGAAAAAAGCTCATGAGTGCAGTTAAGTGCTCTTTTTCTGTCTTCATTTTTTCTCTGAGTGCAGTTAAGTGCTCTTTTTCTGTCTTCAGTTCAGAAGCCCACTTTAGCAGAGTTTTAGACTTTCTGTCAATTAGCCACTTTTTGCATCTTTTTGAATGTTCTCCAGATCGAGGCAGCGTTTGTCCTACTAGGGTCAGTGTGCCTACAGCACTAACCGTCTTTTTCCATATGTACTCTTAGCCTGTCTTTAGTGTATTTGTCTTTTAATATAATAGATTTTTCATTAATAAGAGTCTCCATGGTCAGATAAGTTTGGAAAATGTAGTTAAACATGTTTCTTAACTTTGAGCTGGTAATGTTTTACTGGGCAAATCCTACTTTGCCCACACACCCAAAATACTTTTGGTGGCACATAGTCTTTGAAACTACTTTAGGAGTTAAGCTTAAGTCACAATATTTTGAAATTTTACTCTGAATCTGATTATTGTATGTGTTAATCTATTCAGTTTATTTAATATGTGGTAAATCATGTATGACTTTGATGTTTTTATCTCCTCACAACCGGTCTTTTCGCCCCTTGTAATTTATCAGATTTTCTAAGCATGGTCCAGGGACCAACAGGGTCCTTGAGCCCTTTTCAAAGGGTCCGCTACGTCAGAACTGCTTTCACGACACTAAGATGTTATTTTCCTTTTTCAGTCTCATTCTGTCGTGAGTCTGCAGTTTTCCAGAAGCTATGATGTGTAGTATTACAGCAGATTGAATGCCAAAGTAGAAGATTCATTAGAGATAGAGTAGAAAACACTGCCACGCTTCTCAGTAAATATTTTTTTATTTCCCAAAATGTAGTTATTTTTCATTAAACTTCATTGTTTATGTTAACATGAAATGGGTTTATTGTTGTTTTAAATGAATTCATACACATCCTTTAAAATTTTTCTGCATTTTAATTTCTAATTTGATAAATACTGATAGATATAACCCATATAAACAAAAGCTCTTTGGGTCCTCCTGAGACCAAAAGGTTTAAAAGCCACTGATCTGGGTAATGTGAGCAATTTGTTAAATCCATACAGTAAAGCTAGATTCGTGGAATATTTATACATATACTGTAATTGAGAGCATTAAAATCTGCATTCTGGAGTGTTTTTAAGTCAGTGTAATTGGTTGTGTAATTGGTTGTGACTTAGTTGTTTTCTCTCTGATTTTTAACATGCCTTATCTATTTCACAAGCCTGTGTGAATACAATTGGAACAACCACAGGGAAAGTGCTTTCCGCTTTTGGCTTAAAAAGATGTCACATAAATATCATTAGACCTTGTGAAATTAGAGAATTACTAAAACCATTGGTTTCACTTTTAGGACACCTGTTATAATCTATTCACTATAAATAGTTTAATAACCTGGCAATCTTTGACTGTCACACCATGTTTAATTTTGACTGTTAACTCTTAGCAGTTTTTGAAAAACGTAGAAACTTTCATTTCCATCATTGATTTAACGTCAAATTTTAACATTGGATTTTCAAGTCTAAAAGAAAGTAGATGCACTTTTAGTGTAAGCTCACAAGATTGAGATGTTTTTAACCCCGTCATTTGAGGGAAAACGGTGAGTGATATTAAAACATTACGTCTGTTTTGTTCGCAGTTGGGGTTGGACCTGGAAGAACTGGAGGAGATAGAAGAGGACGCCGGCCTGGGGAATGGAGGCCTGGGGCGGCTGGCAGGTAACCAGCTGCTCCCGTGCAGCGTGAGCCCCCTCTGACCTGGTGGCTGGGTGCTCCTGACCCTGCCCTGTCGGGGTAAATTGCCTAAGAGTGGGTGGACAAGTTCTTCAGGTCAAGATCTTTGCCATGGGAGGGAAAAATTTGGGAAATACATGTTTTCTTTCCTAAAAGGGCACTTCATGGTTATTAGAAGACCAAGCTTGCCAGCGTTGGGTAAACTGGTGCTGGGAGGGGTTCTTACTGCGCCGACCCCTTTCCAGGGTTGAAACGCCAGTCCTTGGGGAAGGGCAGAGGGGCAGGAAGACCATGTGAGTGCGGCCCTGCTCATGGCAGGGGTGGGACATGCAGCTTCCGGCAGCCAGCGGGGCCCCCAAGGCACAGAGCGCCTCCCCTCCAGATGAGGCTCCCTGCATTCGAGAGCACACCCAGTTTTGTTGTTTTCTGTTTTAGTTACTTCTGCCAGCCTTTTTGGGGAAAGAGAGCTGGGTTAAGAACATGGGTGTGAAAGAGCCTCACGGTGATTCCTGGTTTTGCTGTGTGCTTCAAGGCTCTCAGGGACATTATTTCTAGAGCAGACATAAGTCGGGAGCACATTTTGGTTTTTTGGCCATGCATGTGCAGGGCCGTGGGAGGGTGGCCTGTCCCCGAGCCGCTTCGCATCATGGCCCCTTAGAAAGTTGCCATTTTGTAAACAGAGTACATGGCTTAAAATTTACCTAGGGTGGGTGTGTTTTCAAGTCTTTTTTTTTTTTTTGCCACACCCCCCCCAGCTGCAGGGGGTGGGGTGGGGGGAGGGAGGACTGAGGGGAAGGGAACGCCCAGGGCGTGGGGGGAGGGGGGAGGCGCCTCCTCAAGTCTTCAATCCTGCAAGTTATAAATGCCACGTGTTTCTCTCAAACAAGACAGCACATGGATCCGTAAAGCAAGCATTTGCACGCTTTACCCCCCATCCCTGCTCCACTAGCCACGTGTGTCCTCCACATCCTGCTCTCAAATGCAGGCCTGCGGTGTCATTTAAATGTGAGCTCAGACCAGGCACATTGTGCCGCAGCTCCCTTTCCTCCCATGAGACCCTGTTGTGGTAGCAGACACAGCACAGTCCCAGGGACCCTGAGGGTAAGGCCAGGGACTGAGCTGCTAGGGTTTCAGTCCACTCTGTGCTCCAGCCCCACGACATTTGATTGATCATTGCCATCCCCTACTTTGTCCTTTCTCAGTAAACACAGAACCTGGTTTCCTCAGCTAGAGAGAGGGAAGCTTCAGCCTCCTTTGTCTCTGCTGCGGCCCCCTGTGTTCCTTAATGAGCGTTGTGACAGCCATGGGCTCTGGTCTGTTGGCTGGTACCTGTTAGCTGGGCTGGTCCCTTCACTCCCCTCTGGCCTGGCCTGGACCTGGGGCACCACCTCCCCCACCAGCCCTCTCTGTGGCTTGGTGTGAATCGACTCCTGCCCCTGGCAGACTGGGCAGCATCGAGCCCACTGTGGCTTGATCTTCGCTTTCCCTCCTGTGAGGAGGGTTCCCTGGATGAGCACCGGGCTCACGTTTGTTCCCTTCCTCATCACTGTCCCTCAGTAGAGTGCCTGGCACCAAGGCGTCTGAGTGGGTTTGATGAATAGGGCAACATATGTGCGCTAGTGTTCCATGTGGATTTTTTTCCCTTTCTTTTTTTTCAACCCAGAATTTTACTAAGGTTGCCTTCTAGATATTTATTCAAAACACTGTTTTTGTTTTGTTTGTTTTTCAAGACGTTTTGATCAGAGAAAAGCTCAATTTGGTGACATACTGCTCCAGCCACCTCCTGGGGACCGTGGTGGCACTTAGGAGCTCAGGTGTTTGGGTGTTAGGGACATGAAATGTGCTCACCAGCCCTTTCCTGTGCCTGCCTCACTGACATGGTGGAGGGAGAGATTTTGTGCTGTGTCCCGCAGCCTAAACCACGTGGACTTTAATTAGAGCGTGCTGTGGGTGGGGAGGCTTCATACCTAGGTTCAGATGTCCGAGAGCGAGTTAGCCCGAGGGGACTTTGTGTTTGGAGTGGTCCAGCCTCCCTGGGCGCTCTGTGGGAGTCTTTACCTTCCGTCCCTGCTCCCCACAACTCCTGAGTGAACACCTCCATCCCACTGATATTTCCTTCGCATAGCCCTAGGCTCTCAGGCTGAGTGGTGGGGGTCCAGTCTCTGAGCCACATCCCCATGAGTCCCTGATGCCAGTGGGCCTCGATTCTGCTGATTGTCTTTGACCTGTGATTGGATTTTTCAGCCTGTTTCCTTGATTCGATGGCCACCTTGGGCCTGGCAGCATACGGCTACGGAATCCGCTATGAATTTGGGATTTTTAACCAGAAGATTGTCAATGGCTGGCAGGTGGGTGATATTTGGTTTCTTCACTGGTTTCTAGGCACTCGTTTACACGAAAAAATAAACAGTACTGCTTTCAGTCTGTCTTTTTGTACTTTAAACTCCTTGGAGAGATGACAGGCTGGTCATGGGCAAAGTGGAACAGGTCAAGGCTGCCCAGCAGCTCTGTGTGACCCTGATGAGGTTGTCCCTGTGTGGGCTCTTCGCAAGTGGCTTCGATGTGGTGACGGGGAAGTCAGGTGGAGGAGGACACAGAAGCCTGGCTGAGCCTTTTGAGAGACCCCCAGACAGGACCATCTGCAGCTGGAGGGTGAGAGGCCGTGGGCTGCTGCTCGTTTTCCAGCTGTGTCCAGATGTGGAGCGAAGGGTGGAGTTCTTGTGCTTCGCCTCGTGAGATGATTGCCCTTGAGAGTTAGAGAAGCAGTTACTGGAGGCATCTTCGTTCCCACCTTCCGCCTTCACTCTCTGGCATCCGTAAGGGAACAGCATGCTGTGGGGTTGGAGGCCAGACCCAACAACAGTGGCTCCCAGGAAGAGTGAGTCTTGACTTCAAAGCATTAAAGTACAGCCAGGCATGGTGGTCAGGACAGCGTTGGTGAAGAGAGTGTAGCCTCAAGTGTCTCACCGTCCTCAGCCAGGCCAGGGGAAGCCAGGTCCTCCATTCCACCTGGGTGGAGGGTGGCTTACTCAGTGTCGTTTGGGTTCCAGAAGTCACTTCAGATAAAGCAGGGCTGGGGTTAGGATCAAGAGGTTTGGAGTGTCAGAGCAGTGAAACAGAGCCTGGCCGCAGGATGTGTCCCGAGTGTGCGCAGGGCTTGGGTCATCAGGAGGTTAACCTAAAAAATAAGCACATCTTAACTGTAAGGCATGCACGAAGATATGTTTAGTGGGAACCTGTGCTGATGTCTGCAGCTCACTTGGAAACGCACCCCAATTTCCTGGACTGACGGAAGGGGAAGCGATTCGTCAGTTACAGCGAGGAGCTACGGGCACAGAACCTGGGGTGGGCATGTAGGTGTTCACCGTCAAGTCTTTGAACGTTTCTGGATGTTTGAAAGTGCTCATGATAAAATGTTGGCAGAGAAGAGTGTAGTGGCTGAAAGTGAAAGAGCAGATTCGGGCCCGCAGCTTGGTGATAGAAATGCTCTCTCCGGCCGTGTGAGGGCAGGGCGCCCCGGCAGCCTCCGAGGGGCTTCCTCTGTGGGGCGAAGGTGCTCGGCTGGTGGTTAACTCTCTCTCCCGTTCCGGCTCTCTCTTCCCTGCGCCGTTTGTGGGTGTATGAGACAGACACCCGGAGACCCCTCCTTGCTTAGTTGGAAGTGTGGCCATAAGCAGGGTGGTGGTGCGTTCTGGTTTTTACCGCAGACTCTTTTCTTCGGATGGTTCTCATTCCTGCAGCTCTGGCTGTCTTGCCTAACGGTAGGACGATGAGTGACAAACCTGCCTCCCCACCCGTCTTCGTGGGCAGTGGTCAGGAACGTGGCTTTAGCTGTAGCAGACGGAAGTGCAGGTGGCGCTTGGGAGCAGTCGTGACGGACGGGGCTGCAGGCCAGGGGGCGCCCTCGTGAGGAGCAGGGAGCATGGGCGGGGCGGGGCCTTGTCTTTGGGAAGATGCTGCTGCCGTAGGTGACTCTGGGATGACTCTGCAGTAGATGGTCGGGCTCCTTTGGCTTTGGTGAATCTCACTAATGGACAAGGACGTGCCACCAGGTCAGAAAGCTGCATTGATCACCAGACACAGAAGTCTTGCCGGGAATACTGTGGGAGGTGCATGTTGAAGCCGTCGCCTTCCTGAAAGCATAGCCCGAATGCTCTCTCTGCCGACTTTTTACTTCTGCGTAAGAACCATTAAAAAAAAAATCCTCCAAAGTGTCGTGCTAGGGTCGCTTGTTTAATTTGAAGAGAAAAGACTTGTTCTCATTTATATTTTAGTTAATTTATGCTTTGGAATTCTTCCTTCACTGCTGTGCCAGATTAATTCACTCACTGCTTGCAAGCGGAGTGGATTCCACAGGGTGGCGGGATGAGCCGCCCCATCAAATGCTTCTGCTGAAAGGGTGGGTTGAGTCTGTGGGGCTACTTCTGACTTTATTGATGGGAATGGTTTTTGCATATGTACTGGTCTTGGATGCCACTCAGTACAGTTTTTGAAAAATAAGCTGCTTCGAGGAAGGTATAGCAGAAAAGCAGCGTCTGCATGGCATGTCCTGGGCAATCGAGCTGTGAGCCTCTCCGGGCACCAGCACAGCCCTGGCCTCTGTGGATTTGCAGTGTCATTTTCAAAGCAGGGTCTTCTAGTGATTCCTGTTTTTTTTAATAACAGATTTATTGAGATATAAGTTGTTTTTAGCGTATTCAAAGTTGGGTAAGCATCACCACTCCTATCCAGAATATTTTTATTACCCCAGAAAGAAACCCTGCAGCCATTCACAGTCACACCCCGTGCCAGGCTCCATTCACTGCTCTGTCTCCAGATGGGCCTGTTCTGGGCATTTCCTGCGCGTGGGATCATACGAGGTGTAGCCTTTTGCGACTGGCTTCCTTCACCTCAGTGTTTTCATGTGTCAGTGCTTCGTTCCTTTTTGTGGAGAATCCAGGTGTTTGTAACGTCCTTTTATTTGGATGTATGTTTCTGAATTTTATATGAGTTTGTTACTTTAGTAGTCCAAACTGTTCATTTTAAAACACATGGCTTGACTGGAACTGGAAATCTTTACGTCGTAAACAAGCTGTAGTTCTGTTTCCGTGCTGGCATGGGCCGAAGACTGGGTGGTGGCCTGGCACCTGATGTCTTCTACTGTGTGACGCACCTCACCACCACCCCTTTTTAGGTCGAAGAGGCTGACGACTGGTTGCGCTATGGCAACCCCTGGGAGAAGGCCCGGCCCGAGTACATGCTTCCTGTGCACTTCTACGGGCGAGTGGAGCACACGCCCACAGGCGTGAAGTGGCTGGACACGCAGGTACCAGTTGAGAGCTGGGCAAGGGCCGCCCTGCAGTTCTCTCATCGTTACCTTGACATCTTTCTGGGTGTGGGGGGGCTTGCTGCTTCCCCGGAGGACTTAATGCAGTGTAGAAGGTGGGGGAGGTTTAATTCACCTCATACGCCCGGTTCTTACACCTTGATGGGAGCTTTCCAAACAGTGGGAGATGCTGAGCACAGCAGAGAGGAGGCCATGTGTTAAGCCACTGCAGCTCAGCAGAGCTGTGTGGGGTCGAGACCGGCAGCCAGAGATCGCGTGCTCGCTGCCGTTCAGACACCGCCATGGCTGCGTAATGGCCCGCGGGTGGGGATGAAGGCTTTGACCCAGGCAGACGTGCCCCTGTGGAGGGCTCCATGAGCTTGTGCACCGCTCGCTCCCCTGCTGGAGCCACACGCAGCCCACAGCTCTTGGGAAAGCGTCTGCGCCACCAGAGCCCGGGACATGTGTGCGAGGCCTGGGCATGTGTCCCAGAACAGGGCCAGGCTCCCTCCCCGCTGGCCCTGACGGGAGCCTGCCACTCAGCCTCCTGGGGCCTCTGGCCTCTGGAGGGGCCGACGGACAGGCTGTGTGGAAATCATCGTGAGGTGTGGGAGGAGGAGGGACAGGCAAGCCTAGAGCCTGGGAGGTGGTGGCGTACAGAGTTGTTGCCCTGACTTTCCGGAATGTAGTTTAAATGGGGTACATTGGGCTAGAGCAGGCTGGAGCCATGTTGTGGGGGCAGAAAATGCATGAAAAGTTGGGCTTAACTTGAAAAAGCAGAGGAGGGGGTGCAGTGTCCAAGAATTGGGGGGCATCACGAGGGGCTTCACCCCAGCGCTGGCAGAGGGAGCAGGGGGGCTGGGACGCTCTGCTGGAGACGTGTTGCTCGCTTGGGCATGGCCATGTGGGGCAGGGGCAGGTTGGCAGATGGGAAGGAAAACATAGTTCTGGGGTTTCAGTCCTGGTGGACCTGCTCATCGACATGGTAAAACCTCCGTTGTCCCCATACTCACCACCGCGAGCGGGCCTGAGTGTGCGCCCACGGGAGCACCCGGCAGGAGTGGGGCTGATGTCTTTGCACAGACGCGACTCCAGGGGAATCTGTGGGGCTGGGTGGGTGGGATCTGCCAGCTGCGGCGGAGAGTGCGGCTGTGTTCCTGCCAGGACTGTTGGGCGTGTGGAGGGCAGTGGGCAAGGCACCCGACGGGAGGAGCCTTGCTGCAGGCGCTGAGAGGAGGAGGCCTGAATAGAAGCCGTTTGTTGGGAGAAGGCCGAGTCCTCGAATTGCTAAAGCAGAGTTGAGCGAGGGGAGCGAAGGTGGGAGGGCCGAGGGAGGGAGGGGCAGGCCAGCGCCGCAGCACCTGAGGCGTGGGGACGTGGTGAGGCGGAGCTGTGGCTCTGCCAGGTGGCCTCGCTCAGGACGGCTGTGCGGTACCACAGGGCAGGCCTGGGTGGGGACCTCGGGGCTCAGTGTGGGCAAGCGTGCTCTGACAGAAAGGGCAGAGCTGGTAGGCAAGCGAGGCAGGCAGCGAGGATGGCCGGGTGCTCGCCGACGCAGGCTGTACGTCTTCTCCATGTCTAGGTGGTGCTCGCCATGCCCTATGACACGCCGGTGCCCGGCTACAGGAACAACACCGTCAACACCATGAGGCTGTGGTCTGCCAAGGCGCCCAACGACTTCAAGCTGCAGGACTGTACGTGCAGCCGGCAGCCACCCTGCTCTCTTGTTCCCATTTGGATGGCTTGTTCCCACAGCCCTTGTCCCCCCTGTGTTGTCACAGCCGCAGAAGCTGGCGTGGCTCCTCCTCTGGGCATGCTGGGGCCTTTGTGGAGAGCGAGGCTGCACGTACAGTGTGGGGAGGGCCCACGGCCAGAGTGGACCAGATAGCCAGGCCCCAGGGTCATGCTCATTCAGACCACGTCCCCTGAGGAAAGAGCAAGGGGCTGGTGTCATGCTGGTGTGTGGGATGCCGCAGGAGAGGGCCAGCACCCCCTGAGGGGTGGGGGTGAGATGAGGCGCGGCAGCGGCAGCTTGGGGGTGCCTCGGCCTTCTCAGTGGCAGCCGAGCAGGAGCGGTGCTGAGGAGGCCCGTGTGACCACCTGTCTCTTCCAGTCAACGTGGGAGACTACATCGAGGCAGTCCTGGATAGGAACTTGGCTGAGAACATCTCCAGAGTCCTGTATCCAAACGACAATGTGAGTAGCTCACGTGGCTGAGTCGAGGGCAGGGTCTCCAGCAGGGCCCGCTGCCACCACGTGTGTGCACGCGGCTGCTCCCGGGGGCTGGGGCAGCACGGCCGTCTGTGGCAAAGTACAGCGAGTCCACACATGCCCGTCAGTGTCTCTCTTTGGCCCTCCCTCCCGTAACAGAGTTCGTACGGAGGTCTGTTGCTTTGCCCCCCATGGATTTGTCACCCTCCTTCCCCTGGGTGACGGAGACGCAAAGGATTACTCAAAGCCCATCTCTTTCGAGCAGTGAGAGGCCCTGAAGTGGTTAATCTCCCTTTGGGACGCTCAAGTAAGAGCCATCCCTTCCTTTTGGGAAATTAACGCCAAATTGGGGTTTTTTTCTTGCATTTATTTTCCAGACCAGGAAGTTACAGGAAGAGACATAGGTGAGGTTATAGTTTAACAGTATAGGCTGGTAACTTTCAGTGAAACAAGCCAGGTGTCATTCCAGTAGACAACTAAGTGGTCCTATCAGCAACAGTTTGATCTTAGCAAACATTCCTTCTTACAGCAACTCCTCAGTATCATTACATGACAATCAGTAACTAGTCTGTCCTTGAGCCAGCAACCTGCTG